GGGTGGGGGGGGGGCATGTGCACAGATTTTTTGACTAAAGTACTGTACGTTGAGGACTTGAGAGAACGGTCGGGATGCTTACCTGTTTTGAAGAGCACGATGGCGCGCAGGCACGAGTACTCGTGGGCGTCCACGTCCAGGGCGGCGAACTTGGCTAGGGTGTCCTGCAGGACGAGGCGGCAGTCCTCGTGTCCGAGGCCGAGCACGTCTTGACCGACGGGGAGGGCGAACTGGGCGGCGGCGAGCACAAGCAGCTCGGACCAGGACTCCTGGAGCAGCAGCAGCTGGTCGCGCATGCTGAGCCCCGTGAAGGCGGGCACGCCGCGCGCCCACTGCACGTTCAGGAAGAGCAGGCGGGCCGCGGCCTCGCAGACCGTCTCGGGGAGCGGCGCCGGCGGCGGGCTGGGCGCGGGCGCGGGGCTGCGCGCGGGGCTGCGGCTAGGCAACGGCGGGCTGAGGTTGCCGCCGGCGCCCGCGCCCAGGCCCAGCAGCTGCAGCTGCAGCCACACGGTGTTCTTGGCGTGCGCGGACGGGTACTGCAGGCCGGGCTGCAGGCGCGGGTGCGCGGCGCCCGCGGCGCCCTGGTGCAGGTGGTGGTGGTGGCCGGGCGGCGGCGGCGGCGGCGACGACCCGTGGCTGCTGCCCGTGCCGCTCGTGTCCTCGCTGCGCGGGCTGAGCTTGGGCATGGCCAGGTTGAGGGCGGGGCCGGCGCGCGGGGAGCCCAGCGGCGAGGGCGGCGACGGGTGCGGCGGCTGCAGCGCGCCCAGGTGGCCGCCGAGGGGCGCGGCCATGGGCAGCGGCGGCCCGAGCGACGGCATGTGCAGCGGCAGGTGGTGGTGGTGCGGGTGGTGCGCGGGCATGGCGTCCTTGAGGTACATGGCCATCTGGCGGCGCAGCGTCGAGTTGCGCGGCCCCCGCTCGTGCTGCACGGCGTCCTTGTTCATGCCCGCCTCGACGCACTTGCGCAGCCGGCACGCCCGGCACTGGTTGCGGTGCGTCTTGTCCACCACGCAGCTGCCCTCCGCCTTGGCCTTGCACACGTACTGGCGGTTGCGGCGGATCGAGCGTTTGAAAAAGCCCGCGCAGCCGTCGCACGCAAAGATGCCGTAGTGCTTGCCGGACGAGTGGTCGCGGCAAACCTTGCACGGGATGTCGTAGAGGATGCGGCCTGCAACAGCGAGAGGAAGGGGGAGGTTTAGTTAGGCGGAGTGTCATAGAGATTGCGGCTTGCAACAGGGAAGGTTCCGTTAAAGGGCGTGTGTCATCGCTGGCACCGTTAGAGGCGCGGAGGCGTTCAAGACGGCCGTGTGCATTATTAAGAAGGCTCGGCCAGGTCTAAGGCGAGAGTGGGCGAGAGCGAACGATCGAAGGCGAGCCAATCGCCGCGACCGCGACGCGAGCTAATGTACGTAACGTGTCTCGGGCCGATGCTCGCTCAGAGACACCCCCCCTGGCGCATCCCCATCGCGTGCTAGGCGCCGGACTCGCCGTCCTGTAGTACGCCCGTGTCCGCCCCGTTGTTGTTGCTGTTCGTCCCGGAGGCCTCGTAATAGGGTATTTCAATGGAGCGCTGCCCGGAACTAAGAAGAACAAAACCGGATACACAGAGCGGTGGTGGGGGCGGGCGCGCGGAGGAGCGGAGG